AAATAATGTCTAGTTGGTCTGTGTGACCGACACTCAATAAATCACTTCTTGTCAGCTCATAAGATGATCTGTATGTTAAGTTTCAAATCAGTGTTTTAAAACAGACTTTTTCCCAAAGCCATCAGGTGTTAACAATAAAATGCTATTTCTTATATTGCATTAGAGAATTGTGGATATAACATTCATAAGTAGACAGTTCAAATGAGTATTTAACAATGATTTTTAGACCTCTGAAATGTTTCATGACTCTTGCATGTCATAAAATATTGGGTAATTGTTGTAATTTATGTTGCCGCCTCGTAATGACACCTCTGCTGTCAATGCAGCTCTAACCACAGTACCACAATTAAAGTCAAATGAGCATCGTAATTTAAGGCTGTTCAAATAAATCTGCTGGGAGAGAAAATGCACCCAGGGAGCCATTTTAGAAATACCATGTTGTTATTTCCATATTAAATGATGAGCTAAACTCTGTGTTTATGCATTCGTTACAACATGTGAAGATTAGAAAAGCTGACCTCCAAAAAACCATTAAACTCCCCTCTTCCTATGAATGGACATACATATATTGACATTATTTATAATATATATAATATAAATAAGCAGATCATAATGACTGTTTTAATGTAAAATTATCAACAGGTGCTTTAAAAGGTTAAATGGTTTGATGCATGAGTGTCAGTTTGAGCTCAGGCCTGCGGCTGAGTGACACTGCTGACTGTCTCTCAAATGTAATCAACAGAAGAAACCTCGTGTGACAAAGCTGCACTACTTACTCTGTAGAACTGCATGACGTTTTCTTTTGTCAGCGTCTTCAGATAGGCCACTTCAATGTTATCTGCAACACAACAGGGGAAGGTGTTAACATTGATATCACTGACGTGAGAAGAGCATTTAAAGTACTACAGACCGTCGTCTAACCCAGTGAACTGCAGGGGGTGAGATTGTTTTAAAATGTTAATTTTAAATTATCAGTAATTCATAAAACCAATAAAAAATTACTATAATGATTAAGTTCAAAGTTGATACGCTCAATAAACCACATTTTATATTCAATATTCCCATTTTCAATGCAATGGTAAACTGTCATAAATGTTAGACAATAAACGAGTCCTGGTTGAAACAATACAGCTGTGAAGTATATACAATACCATCAGTATCAGCAAGAATGTTTCAAAGGTCCAGTGTGTAACATTTATAAGGCTCTATCTATAGGTCGCCTTTGATGGATACAGTAGCCCAGAAGGGACAAACCAAACAGTGTTTCTAAATAGGGCGTTCTTAGAGGGTGAAGCAGGGAAGTTGCAATCTGCAACTACACTGCTAGAGGCGATGAAGTCCTACACACTGGACCTTTAATGGGATTTACCACAACGAGCTGCAGCCTTCCCAATGCAAGTTACAAGACTGTTTAATACATCAGACGCTGCAGTGCAGTGTTGTATCGTACATTATATTATATTATATTGGCATTCTTTCTACCAAAAAGGTTCTGTGCCGGTGTGTGGAGTGAAAAAAGAACCACTGGTCTAACCTACAACGCTATCTATCGTTTACCTTTGCACACAGCCAGCAGTTTCAGTTCATGTCAAGACACTTTAAATTTCCTTAACAGTAGTGATCCATCATAGTGAAAGTTGGTCAAAGTTAAAACTGCTGCATAATAATGCAAGTGAAAGCACTGGGTTTAAAAAAAAAGTGTCAGTGTGTCAAACTGCTTGTGGAGGGCTCTGATATATGAGCTATCAAGTGTAATGTTTTCCTCTTGTTTGTCACCACTAGGAATACTTCTCCCCACTGCCACGCATAAAAACTGAATCTAACCAACTGATTAAGCATCATTTTGCACAGAATGTAAAAAACGATTACTGAATCAAGAAAAGGCAAACAATTAACCAACAGCAGCTCTGTCTCACAGTTAGCCCACTGAGCAGATTGTAAGCGCTGACTAATGACGTGTGTGTTGTATGTTTTTCTGTGCCCTTGGCGTTGAGTGCGTTAGCTGCCCTCGCCACCCCCCACCCCCATCTCCTCTAACACTGCTAGTATCAGTAATCACCACCACTCCCTTGGCAGCCTTTCAGTGTTGCCATCACTCAGGGCTTTAGGCAGATTACCAGTGAATCAAGCCCATTACAATCCATTATGGCACTCAGGAGAGTGCTGCAAGAGAGGTGTGCTACGGCTGCAGATTATTTCAGGTTTTAATCGATCCCAATTTGTGCAGCTCTAAGCAACATCCTGCTCACCTCTGGGACTGACCAAAATATTGATAACTCTCAAGAACTCATACTTGACTTCCCATGCAACACAAGCAGTTTATAATAGCTGGTAGATCAGAAAGAGCTTTGAAATATATTTCAATATTCTTAAAAAGGTGCATTTGGCCTGAGTACTTAGACATAATTAAGAGTTAGCAGTGAGGTGAAGAGGACTGCTGGGAGACCTCACCTCTGTCAAAATTATACTGTTGAGAGATGATCTCTCCCCAGTACTTGGCACACTCAGCAGACAGCTTCTTCGGCTTGTCCAGGCGGCGGATGGCCAGGGCCTGGATGTGTTTCTGGAAGGCTTCCTCGCTCATCTCCTCCACAGCCTTCTCCATGGTGCAGAGGAAAGCTTCCACGCGGCTCTCCAGGTAGTGGGGGGCCTTCTCCGATTGGATGATGAAGCGCAAGCCTTGCACTCCGTTAGCCCGCCGGGGCCCACTGAACACTATGTAGCCTGGGGGGGTGGAGAGGGTGAAATAGGTAAGACCTCAGCACGAAAGGACAGACAGGGTACCTTAGCATGTGCAGAAAAACTTCTAAAAGGCCGGTTTGCTTTAAAAGATTAACATCACAATTATACACTCATGTACATATGCCTTTTGAGTTGTTTCAAAACCATTTTATTCTGATTACTGTCTCCGTCTGGAACTATTATTACTGCACTACTTCCAAGGAAATGTGGCTCCGAGACTCACTCCATTCATTCCACAAGTTATTAAACATCATCATGGTTGACAGCACTTTAGAAACTTCACTTACAGTTTCTGGTCTTTATAGGAGTAGTTTCCAATTACTACATGCAGATTAAAAAGGTGCAACTATTCACCACTTGGTAGCAAAATAGAACAGCTGCCACACTTCTGTCCTGGCTTTACAGTATATTGAAAAGAGTGTTGGAAAATGCTGCACAAGATATGTTCTACATCATTTGTTTGTGTTTCGTGGGCTCACCCAGCTGTTCTTTGGTTCTCAGTGTGTTGAAGCAGGGCTCAGAGATGATCTGACAGAAGAGCTCCAGGAGCATGTTGTCGTGGGTGGTCTGCATATCTGTCTGATAGTAGATCTCAATGCCACAATTGTTGTGCACCTCGTTCCTCTGCTGGTAAACATACCAGCCACCTGAGGGGAACAGAAGAATATTTGTTTAGTTTCTTTCAGAACTGTAATCATACAAAGTAAACACATTCACTTGGAAATGCATTACTGGAAAAAAAAGGCAGGGCTCCTGAGCTGGGCCTGAAAAAGAAATCGAAGCGAGGGAGTAACCACTGAAGGAGCAGGTGTGTTTGTGTATTTGTGTGTTTGTGCGTGTGTGTGTGCGTGTGTGTATATTTGATACAGACAATATTCTCTTTCCCTCCCATCTCTTGTGTTCCAGTTTTTTTTTTAAACATAAAACAGATTATGGAACAGGTAATGGAAGAGTAAGATTAAATAAGTATTAAAACTTATTTCTGTTATGTGTGTGCAGATTTAATTGAGACGATAAAGCCTGTAAAAGTTCAAATAATTCTGTCAAACATGACTAGGCTGTGCTGAGATGTGCTGAGAACTACACTCAACATGTAAAGCAGTGACGGAGCTGAAGTAGATTAAAGTAGAATCCTTTTATTAACCCAAAATCCACACTGATCCATGGACTCGGATAAGAATGGAAATGAATTTCACCAGCCTATCTGTACACCTCTACTCCAAATAATAATTTTTGTATGCATAATGAGGGCTTTCAAAAACATAAATCAATGCTGCCTAAAGTAACGGCTGCAAAAAACCTGATGAGCGGTTTCAGTTTTAGATAAGCAGTTATCTTTGCTTGAGGTGTAGACAAGTGTAATACAGTAAAACTGTAAAGTTCAGACAGAGGACACAGAGGACAGTGGTGACACTCTCCAGAAAGGTGGAGACATTCAACTGAATGCCAACATTATCCTTTTTTTGCTGAGTAGTTCCAATTTGGTCTCCTCTTGCCTTTCATCTGTGCTTTAAATTTTCTTTTGAGCAGAACATGGAGAGAAGCCATCCACTCCCGCATACAGCTTTTTTTACGCTCAGCTTCAGTTTGTTTGAGTACATTGTGATCAAGCTCACTTTAAATGGAGGACGAGTTGAGGCTGGGTAATGCAGGTACCTTTATGCACATGCTGACGGAGAACTTTGGCTCTGCGCTTGGGGAGTGTGTCCACAGTCCTTAACATCTCCCCTCACGTTCTTCTCAACATGTCAAAAGTTTTACTCAAGTTTACTTAGGAAACATAAGAAAAACAGCTTTGGGCGGATAAACTTTGATTAATGAAAGCAGTAACGTGAAGTGTGGACATTACAGGGCTGTGTGTCATTGTGTATTTTGTTTTCACAGCATGTTATACATCACACTGTCAGTGTTTGCAAAAGCTAGCTGTCAGTCAACTGAAAGAAACGGTGACGCTATAAATACTGCCTCCTAAGGATGTAAATATGCACATATTCTTACTGTACAATGGAAAACTGCACCACTTACCACTTTATATGACTAATCATTTTTGGCCAGTATTTCATTAGCATTCCTTTGCTAAAGCAACAGAAAACATTCATAATTTAGTTGTAGACTAAGTTGTTTTCTAGTTGTTGGATTAAAAAGCCTGTCAATCAATCTAAGAGCAAAACCATGGTAGACACTTAGGCCATGTTTCTGACTGCATTTGGATCATGTGGTCCCTTAAACAAAGATTAATGTGTAACTGGACAGATTTATGTGAACTATCTGCTCTAAAGCTTTCAGCTACAAGAGTAAAAACATGTTTCTTGGACAGACTGTCAGCCAGTCATTCATTTCATAAGCCAACTCTGTGTTTACATCCTTTACGTCCTTCTCCAGTGCTCCTGCTCTGTGTCTGACTGGCAGTCTGGAGCAAAGCCTGGAAAATCCCTTGGTGAGACACAGGATGTCTCCAGGTGGGCCTGCACAGCTCTGGTTTTCCTCTCCACATCGCTTGACTTTCCTAATGTAATCAGAAAGGCAGCACAGGTGCCTTGCTTGGCGTGTGTGCATTCATCTTTGAGCTGAGAGGGGGACGGTGTGTACGTATTTCTGCCCAATGACGTCCATTTCCACTCAGTGACCATTGTGTTCCTCTGAGGCAAATGAGGGATGTTGAAATTTAATGATGTCTTTACAAACGCAAACACGCCGTCACTGATGACGAGGGTGAGAGCGCTGGGTAAAGACTCTTTTGCATGGTCGTCGTGGAGACAGGCATGACTGGCAGATGATGATTAAGAGTCCATAACCGGTGTGTGTGGGAGTATAAGACCTACCGTCGGGAACCTGCACCTCTCTGTAGCGAATCAGTTGGCTCGGGAGGAGGGGCTTTGTGTGAGCGTGCTCAATGAGCGTGTCCTCCACCATTTGCATCATGCCAAGAGCAGACTAGAGAGATGCCAGACAGGGAGGGAAAACAATATCATTTTAGTTCACAAAAACAGTACTTTTAATGCACCGTTTAGCTCTGATGTTTAGCCTCCTCTTTTAAGGATTTGCAATTTACCTTTCTGTTATGCACACTTTCCCTTAACCTGGCTCCAATTTCAGTTAGTTATTTTCTACGTACATTCCCCAGAAATTGCTTCTGACGTTCCCCAACAGGCTACATTAAGCTGTGGGTTCTACGTGAGCAGAATTAAGTTATCTTGACACTGGACCTTTTCCACCCTCAATTTGAATTGCTAGAATTGATGGTAGACATTGGTAATGTATTGCTCTCTCCACCTTCTCCACATTATTTTCACAATAATATCCACAGTTAGCTTTACTATTAAACATTTTCTCTCTTTATTAACTTGCCATATAGTAAGTAGTTTTAGTATTATTTGCAAAAGTTGTGAGACGCTACACTTATACAGAGATAATAATAATAATAATAAAGAATACCTCTGTAAAGTGTTAAGGCAGCTAACTTTATCTAACAAAGGATTTGGAGGCTTCTAGGTGAGACTGGGACACTGATGTGATCAAACTCAATGTACTTTCTACAAAAGTTGGGGTTGTGAAATAAAATTGTCTTATTCAAATGTAAGGGGAGAGGTACATGTTTTATGGCAATGTGTTCCTGCCCTCTAATTGCTTTGATAACATTAATAAGTACAAATTTCTCATCAAAACATGATTCCTTATCCATCAAGGCTTCTCTGCCAAACTACTTGGTCAGTTCTAGCTCTGGCCTTACAGGAGCAGGCCTCCACTGTAGCTCAATGATGACGATATGGATCATTGCTCCCACTGGTGAGTCTAATTCTCTCTCCACCAGACTGTGACGCTGTCATCATTACAAGCTGTAACGCGAGGGCTGTGACAGCTGGGACCTCACATAAAAGTGCGACCTGATCGCAGGATCTTATAAGAGGTTATTTGACAACAATCCTCTGATATTGTTGGAGGGCCAGATAAAAGGCGGGAGGTGACTCCCATGTTGTTGAGAATAAAAGGTGTGTTCAATATTCACTGAGAAAGAGGCATACACACTATTTTACAAAATTTAGAGCCTGGATTACTTCCAAATCCATCAAGGCAGAGAGCTAACAAATTTTAAATTCCCTCAGCTTGCAGTAATAACACAGTGACAAACCTCCTTGGTGATGTTGCCATGGAGAAGGGTTTCAATATGTAACCGTGACAATAGCTGAGGTATGAAGGCCTTGAGGCGTGGGAGAGTTACATCTGGAATACAGATCACAGACAACAGCAATCAATCAAAGAGCAATTTCCCAAGCTGCTATCAAGACTGAATCAGTAAAAAAAAAAAAAAAGACCAAACTGCTGTTTCATCGTACAGTATTCCTGGCACGGACAAGATAATAGTGGTCACACGTTAGACAATCATGCAGACCTGGTAAAACACACACTTACACATTCAGTTACACATGCACAAAATCAAGTCTGTCCTAATGCGGGTAGGCCAATCTGAATTCAGGCAACGTCTGACCCAGATTCAAGGATGAGCTACTACAGGGACACACACAATTCATCTAAATTATCATTTGTACACACACACACACACACACACACACACACACACACACACACACACACACACACACACACACACACACACACACACACACACACACACACACACACACACACACACACACACACACACACACACACACACGGGACCACCGGAGGGTAAGGACACTGATAAGGGAACAAGCTGTGGTAATTGGAGGCCCTGGTGACTGGGCTACAGGCTTTGACCCTGCAGGTTAATTGAGTCTCGTGTGAATCCGAGGATAGTCTGTGTAAGCTCCGTGGTAAAAATATAACAATCTGCCCTTCAGGTTCCAGACTGCCACTGCGGAGAGGAAAGACTGCAGCTAGGGAGGCATCTGCTGGAGAACAGCCTTAGCATTCTAATGAGGATTTAAGGAGGAAAACGGAAGAGAAGAAAAGACCTAAAGTGAGCAGAGCGAAAGAGTAGCCCTCTGTTGACTGTAAGCCAAACACCTTGAAACTTTAAGCCAGGAACTCAAGCCTATGAACTGATAAAAGGGTGCAGTTTCTTACATTTGCTACAACTACCAAGTTATTCAGTCTAATACAACTAAGCTACATAGCCGAAGCTTCACTTGCTCAGTACTAGCCTGAAGAAGGGCTTGGCTATGCATTTATTCTGTATTACTGTGAACTGTGTTCGGCCCACAGTAGAAAAGGGGCTAATAAGCACTAGGGCTGGGACTCTGGGACAGAAGTAAAGAGAGAAAGAGAGAGATTAAGAGCAGCGTCTCACCATCCAGAGCCTCTCTGAGCTCATCTTTGGTCCAAGCAACCTCGGTCATTAGTAGACGGAGGTAGTACATGGCGTGCTGGTGAGGCTGCTCGGCTCTGAAGTTATTCAAAGACCTCATGTACTGCAGGGAGAAAGAGAAGGCAGTCAGTTCAACATCAACATTTGGACCGTTAGTTGAAGTATTTCTGACCTTAAAAACAAAACTGTTACTTTACTGCTCTTGAGTTGTGACGTTCGGTAAAATAAAAGTTAGCTGTTCCATAAATTGCAAAAAATTTGTTCGAATGATCATGACTCATTGTAACATTGTACCGATGACAGAGTTGCAGTCAGAGCTTACCGCTTCTTTGATGATGTCAAAGCGCTTCTCATCTATCTCAAAGGTGGCCATCTTCTCAATGATCTTCTTCAGCAAGATGTGCTGTTTGTCACTGTAACCTTTAACGGAAAGCTGCAGCAGACAGTGATAGGACAGGCGGTACATTATCAATAAACATAAAGGTGAGGTGAGCCTGGCGTGATCAGTGGTCTCCCTAAAATGTTTTGCAGATCATACTGTAGTTTTACTTGTTGATTCAAAAGGTTTTGACCCATTTATTTATAATGTTCGACTATGTACTGTAATTACTGGCTGACCAAATGATTGTCAAGAAAAGTGCATCACTCCCCCGCTTAAGATGAGTCACCATCACAGAGTACGTAACAGCATGTCTATATTTGCCTAAAATGTTCCTATAAACTCAAACTAAAAATGAGGAATATATATATATTGACCACAAGGGTAAAGGAAAAAATTAAAAAAAAAGGCTGATGTATGTTAGGAAGAATCACTTAATCATCAATTTAGTCTCTCTCAAGAAGTCAGAAGAACAGACCTAAGTAGTTGATTATGAGGTTCTTCTATGTAAATGAGTGTTTTAAAAATGGAAAAGAACAGCCAGGGTTATTTTAAGCCTCCACTTTGCAATGTCATCCACACCTTATGGCCCTTCATGATTCAGCAAAACCTCCAGCTACATGGCTGCACTCTCAGACTCATCCCATTCCTCCCCACTCCCTGTCGCTAGGTCCCTGCGGTGACACCTGTTAAAAGTAATCTCTCCCAACATCATTAACCTTGACAAACACCCGGCCAGCCACACCAATACTGCTGACTCAGATCAATTACATACAGCCCATCACACAACTACACAGTTTATGTGTTGAATAGCTGCCTCTAAGGACATGCCACAATGATAAATTCACTGGTTAGAGGTAGCTAATGAATGCAGGTTAGTGGGTCATATGACAAAGGGTTCAGAGTGTTAGTGCAGAAGTTAGAAAGCTTGAAAGAACAGAGCAAAACACCACCACCGCAAACCAGTTATGTTAATTTGCTGAGCAACATTAAATCCCCGAGACACGTACTCAGTTGAGAAAACTGCTGTATTCCTAAATTCTGGAAGCAAAGAGGTGGCTGATAGAGCAAGTCACTCCTCACTATGTCCATCAAACAGATCCACTTCTAATGTCCTTTGTGCACTTGCATCAGCAGAAATGTGACTATAAATGACAGAATCTGCATCATTTGGATTTATTCTTTGTCTTTACGTCAGAGGCACCTTTTCTTATACTAGCTGTATGACAGGGACACAATAGAAGCAAGAGAATAGCAGCCAAAAGACCACAATATAATTAGACAGAGTAGGTAAATAGTGCCATGCAGTCTCCTCTCAAGTCTGAATACATTACTCTGAATACATTTTGGAAGTGAATTTGTAATATCAGTCACTCGTGTCCTTGACTGAAGCAGCCAGGGTTCAGTGCGCATATAAAGTCTGCAAAAAAAGTTTTAAATTTGTCAGTTTTATTGCCACTGGGCAAATGAAAAGCAGTTATATTAATTTTTTAATCTTAATTTAAGGTGTCATGGCAATATTAAAAAAAAAAACTGCTGTGCTCTGATGAAATCTAATGAACAGATTCTCTCAAACATAATTTCTTGAGGTTAATCTTTTAATTATAAATAGAAGAAAATGCCTACATGGTAGTAAAATGATATTTTCAGAGGAGTGTATGCAGCTCTCCTTCACTTAAGTGATTAAATAATAATAATAATAATAATTATAATTATTAATGTGTTGTTTGCAGGGATTGTAGAAGCAAGCAGATATTCCTATAAATCTTTCAGGTTGGACACACAGCACTTCACTTAATCAAACTGAGCGTAGACAACCAAGCCATTTCCACACTTTGTCAAAGCCTCAAAGTGAACCCTTCATTGGCGCTCCCACTTCCCTTCAGACTTCAAACGCCTTACTTACGAGGATGGCATTCATCCCTGAGGCTACGCCATACACCAGCCCGGCCAGACGGGCTGCATATGTATACTCTTTTAAATCATCCTTCAGTAACCTGAGCAACAAGTAGGTCATGTTGCAGTGCAGGGGATCTGCGTATAGGTAGCGACTAATGGAAAGGAAAAAAAAGAACAAATACAAAAAACACATTTGTTGGGGATGACGGGTTGTCAAAAAAAAATTAAAATAAATAAATAAAACACAAGACAATGCAAGCATGAGAAGAACGATAAGAAGAGTATGTATATGCAGCCTCATGACCAGCTCTGTCCCGTAAAAACTGTCAAACAACTATATTCTATGGAAGACTCAATGTCAAAATCATAAACTCAATGTCGTTGGTGGAAAGCCGCTTCACCTGAAGGGAAGTACAGGTGTGCATTTAACCCACCAGAAATGATTTGATATGCCTGACAACATGAGATAGTCAGAAGGGTTTCGCGGGAGGTGGATGAACAAAAAGGGAAAAAGGATTGATGAAGAATGAAGAGGAAGATACACAAAGAACATATGCTAGACTAGCCAGGTCTGGGTCGGAAGGTTTTCGCAAATAATTAGCATTTTTTTTGGTGGGGTTAATTGTCTTGACAGTACAGACAATAACAGGCAAACTATGATATACAGTAGTTTTCTGTGATTGTCTAAACTTATTTTTCGTTAATTGTATCATCCTGTGCAATAAAACCTTCCAATCTGGCCATACAGATGGCTTAAAATTACCTGTCAAGCCAGGCCTGGCTGAGCCACAATAGCCCAGTCTGAGGATGATACAGGTTGGGGGCGTGAGGTCTGGGATGCAGCGTGAGGGCGACGGGAGTGAATACTTACATACATCCCATAGACGGTATTTTGGAGGTCATAGTTCAAGCCAGCTAGCTCGGCTGCATATGCATACTCGTTGAGGGAGTCCTTGAGGAGCTCCAGGTATAAATATGCCATGTTACAATGCAATGGGTCCACATACGCAAATGGGCTGTAGAGAAAATGGCAGTGGTCAAACAAAAGTATAGAAACAAAGCGTAGAGATATTGTTCTCTACATTTTCTCACAGTAGGAGCTGAAGGCACTACTGCACATTAACATAAAATGAATTGTAGTTATTAGGGGTATAACGGTACAGGTATTCACCATAAAGGCTCTGGTGCAGGACATTTGGTTTGGTACCAGACTTGTTATAAACCAATGAACCAAAATAAAAACCGTCTTAATAGACTAATACAGTCAAATTAAACTCCCAGCCAGAAGGGTTTGGCTGTGTTTCAGCTGTCCACTATTGGCTAAACCAAACTACTCCAGCTGATCCTAGCTTATATCGTAGTATCATCTGTGTGGCAAACACTGGAAAAGCCTCTCGAGTTAGATTGTGTTTGGGAGTATTATGGCCTATATATAAAAAAAATCCTGAAATCCTGTAGTGGCCTTAATTAAGGAGATGCTATGTAGTTTATGTAGTGTTTCCACAGGCAATGCATTGCATTAATTTCCATTGCTCTGGCCTGCAACCTCTCATGGTGAAACTGTGCCATGTCTTCAGCTGAACAGAGTTGTATTGACATTACAGTAAATAACTAATGAGAAATGAGCCATTTTAACAGATCACATGATCAGCTTCCAGTAGATTTGTAGCTAGAAGGCAGCAGGTTGGAGATTTATTGTACTCCCACTGTTCCTGCCTTCATCTGAGATGCAAGAGCCTCAATTTTTACTGATCTGATCTTATTTGACGTGTTACTAGCTACTGTTAATACAAAATGAACACTTTGTCCAGCTCCTTTGAAACAGTCTTTTGTTATTGTTGAGCACAATCACTAACAATTAATAAAAACTCATCTACATCTTGATATTTCTTCTACACTTTTCTGCACCTTTTTGTTGGCAGATAACTTTAAAAACATATTTACTCCTGATTGTTTACATAGCGTATCAGTATCAGTAGCTTTAGTTATATTTGTTATTGAGAAATAATGAAAACCAGTGTGCTCCCCACATATAGGTGGTAGCATGCTGTGGAGTAATACCGAGTGAGAAGTTTATTTAGTGGGTAGGACCTTGTGTCCAAGTTACAGTACAGTTACGCACCTGAAGAACTCAAAGTTCAGGCATGCCTTGGGCAGGAAGAACTTGTCATCCTGCTTGAACCACACCTTGCTCATAGCCGTGTCCTGGAAGAAACACCCCACACACACAGGCAGCTCTTAATTTCATGAGTCATTTCATTCAAGAGTCCATTTTGTGCAAAGAATGTTTTGCAGTCCCTGGAAATGCCAGCATGGGCACACTTCAGCTACACACCACAATCAAGCAATGAACATTTTCTTATTTACATAAATTTAACAAAGTTGCTTTGATATCAACAGATTAAAATGTGGTCTTTTAGCTAAAAAAAGATAAAAAGCACAGTGGATTTTAAGTCTTCCCTTCAGAGAATGTAATATGTTGTTAACAGCTTTGTTCCTCTGATCTTGACATCATGTTAACAACAGTATTAAATGCTTTATGCGTCAGTCACAGTCGAATACCTTATTACCACATGAAAGCATTAGAGATTTTTTTAAACACGGACTGTCCAGCACAGTTAGGAAATGAAGAGTGCTGCGCAGCATAAACACTTGCCTTGATTAAAGTGGGGACTGATGGAGAGTCTTTCTCAAGAGGGTAGATCTCAAAGTTGGTCGGGATGAACTCGTTTTTCATGGGTAATTTGAACTTTCCGTTGAGGTCTGCACTTGCCCATTTCTAAAAACACAGACGTACAATCAGCAAACAGTGTCTTAAAACTTAAACAGTAGTCATAGACTCATCAGAAAGCATGTGTGTGATTGTATTAGAGGACTATGACCACAGTGATTCACCATGAGGGTCTCTTCAGTGATGGCCTCCTGTTTGTACTGCGTGCCATACCACTCTTCTGTCTTGTCGGTTTGTCCTTCAAATGACTTTGACACCACTGCAACTCTGGAAAAAGAAAAGAGTGAATCAGGCCATGTTACATGGATACAAAAACCTCTGTCAGAGCTGATTAGATGCTCTGCCTTTGTAACCACTCCACAAGATGAGATGTGAGTGCTTTTCTATTAGTGTTGCATTTGGATCACGTTTAAGGTAGTGGAAATCCATCAACACGTCTGCCTCTAACTGATGAGCTATGTTTAGAATTCCTATAAGCCCTCCGTGTGCTGCATTTAGAGTGGGTTTCACTGAAACCAAACATTTATTCAATTAAAGTAGCAAGAGCAGGTTCCTATTTGTTACACACCAACAAGGACTCCGTAAAAACAAATCGTTTAATTTCAACAAGTGTGAATCTAATTTTTAGCCCTTTAATGATGCAACCCAACTTGCTGTAACTTCACTTACAGCTGCTGGAATGAGATTGATCCGTGAGGAAACAGTCATGAATTCTAACTATCGCTGGCAAAACACCAAAGTTAAATAGCCACTTCAGTAAAGGAAGAGACTGGCATGCAAACTGCCAGGGTCAGCCAATGAGTGCATGCAATCTCCTCCTTGGTAAGCATTAGGGAATGGACTAGTTACAAGTCTCATCCCATAAAATGAATGTTAATGCTACAATATGTAAGATTTTTACAAAGTGGGGCAGCAACTGAGAAGATTTAGCTATTCTGTCAAAATGTCAGGCATTTGTTACGCAGGAGATTGTACATTTAAAATGAAGTCAAACAGCTTAAGAGGGTTCCACAGAGGCTCAACCTCTTCAACATCTTTTACAAAAGGACTACATGCAAACTATATAGTCTGCAGATATCATCTGCTAGCTTCTCACTGGGTGTTTGAGTCCAAAACAGTTAGCCTTGTCTGCAAACTAGGTTTACCAAGATATAGTATTAAGGTGTCTATCTCTACTTAACTCAAAATACTAGTTGATAGGTCATTATGTTTAAATAAAATGGGTCTAGAACACATTTTTGATTGGCCAAATTTTCTATGAAGAAATCCTATGAGGACACCAGCATTTCCAATTCAGAGAGCAAAACATAATAATGTATTCCTGAGCACACATACCCATCTCCCGATACACAAACTGAACCTTTGAGACTGCAGAGATAATCAAAACTGTGAAGTTGTCTGGCATTTCTTTTCAAGGTAGAAAATTGAAAAGGTGTTTCATCCAAATATCAAAGTAGACCAACACAGCACTTTGTCAGAGCTGGCAGGAAACAAAAATTATTTATTATCTGAATGTATTATCCTCTTTTTTTATATCACAGATACCAGTTACAAATATACAGCAGCCTTCCTGAGGCGTTTCTTTGGTGTTATGTTTAAATACACATTATTATTACGTGTATATGTATCTGTTTAGCTATAAATAACACAGAACACTGAAATCAATAAGGAAATAGATTCACAATGATTTATACTTTAGTGGTGTGCTACCGTGACATTTTTCTAACGTTAATGATAACTGTTATACTTAGGAATTTCAATAAAAAAATAAATTTTAGTGCAAGTGCATGGATGGGATCAGAGACTGAAGTTTTCACACTCACCTGACATGTTCTGGTCTCAGCTTATCCAGCACCATCTCAATCAGATCTGGCCTGAAGTCCTCCAAAAGGTACTCTGCTGCTAGGACCTCTTCAAGAGGGTAGTACTGAAACACACAGAGCAGAAGATGTTAAGTGAGGTGGGGCGATTGGATATAAAACATTTGCTGAAAAGAATTTAAATTGAATTCCTTCCTCCAACTATTCCTTAAGGCTAAATAATTATAAAACTTACACTCAAACAAATGTGTTATTAAAGCTCTTATCTTCATGGTGCACAGATCTCCAATCAATAGCTTAACAACTGAGTCACAGCCTGCAAACTGTCGAGAGAATAAGGATTAGACTAAACTGTTGCTATACTGCAATGTGTTTGCACTGAATATCACAGTATGGGTGTAATGTGAGGACTTCCTGCCACTTGTTATAATAGAGAGCGAGAAAAAAAAAACCTAACAAGATTTGCACTGCCAAACCTGGTGAGAAGAAATACAGAAGAAAATGCTTGTAATTAGTGCAGCAGTGACAATTAGGTTCTTAAGTCAATGAGGCTTGCTGCGACTATCATACCGGAACTGTGGTGAATATAAAAGCCTCATTTCTTTCTGTGCCTCTGTAAAATCTCAATTCTCTCAATAGAGTCAACAGCAGCACCAGGCAGGCTGATGACGACAGCAGGTACAGACAGAATGAGCTGCACTCAGTCTCCCTGGAAACAACCTCTGCAGACGGAGAGGGGACCTACGTGTAGTAAACCAGCCACTTTGGAAGTGTAGCCACGGGGTCGTTCCTTGTCCTTGAACCTGAAAGCCACTTTGTTTAAATCCTACGAAGAGAGACAGAGATGGAAGATACAGATGACAGGTGGAGACACAAGCAACAGTTACACACAGTTGAAAGACATTTGGAGCCAGATTCTAGAAAGGTGGACTGCACAGAATTTCATCTGTTGTTGTTATGAAAAGCAATTTTTTGTAAATGACATATTTTTACAGTGTAGCATGGCTTCATTTGACATGGCTTAATTTATACATGGTGAAAATAGCTGGTAGGTTTATATCCATCAGTCTGGGCTGTCAATGTCTGTGCTGCTCTATTAGTTTCTCCACTAACCATAAATAAGTAGGCCACATTTTTCCCGCCCCTCGGTCTGAAATGTTGTCGCTGAATAGACAACATTAATTACCTTGCACTCCTCGAACACCCACTCCTGAGGTCCCTCGGTACGCAGTTTCTGGATATACTGGAACATGTGGAAGATGATGTCCTCAACGTGCACTGTCATGACACAATGAACATTATTTAAACTTCATTTCCTTATACACTGATCTTACCACAATAAGGAACGATCTTATGCAAAATACAATCAGGAAATCTAAGTACTACTTACAGAGGCCCTCCTCGGTCAAATCCACGTTGATGATGAAGAACATGAATCCTCTGGCTCCTTCTTTCTGACCTCCAACAAGTGTGTTCACCCAGCCTTAAAAATAACACAAGTTTGAGCTTGTTTTTCAGCACGTGTATAGCACTTTCTATCACAATGCCTAAATTCTCTTAACATGTCTGGAGCTCTCCTTAATGTTACCTTTAGATTTTAGCTCAGATAACAAACTTCCGGGTCCTTCGTGACCAATGAGGTGTCCCAGATAATGTCCTGGGTTAGATTTGTAATACTTCTGTAGGTCTGGGATGGGGAAGGTCACATAGAGGTTCCTGATGTCTTTAATGGGAACCACTTTGTAGAATTGCTGTAACAAAACACACAAAAAAAAAAACTTGTTACTTAGGAAGTCATTCATACAATATTTTAGAAAACATTTTGATGAATAACTGGAAAATGTTGCATTAAAAGTGTAAAGAGTGTAAAGTAAAGTTTGAGAAACATTGGTAAGATAAGTAATTGGCTTACTTTGAGGTGTTCTTCCTGGAACGGGTGCTCAGGGAATTCTGGGATAGGAACGTTCTTGTTCTCCACTTCTCCAAATAGGTTAACCACCATGGACGTCAAATCATCTAATGATTCTGTAGGTAAAAACACATTTATAGTTTACTTTAAAGACAATAAGTAGCTCATATGAGAGCAAAGAAAACCTTCTTTATACAAGATGGATCTTTGGCTGCGATCAAATATAAATATAATAAAACATAAACCAACTATTATGTTTTACCACTAATAAGATACTTCAGGATGCACACAACTGTTCAACTCCTATGAAGTAACACTATGCCCTACACCTCGTTAAATATCTTCCCAGTGTTTGTTTTTAACCTTTCTGATCCTCTGTAATCGTGGGAAAGTCTGAAAACCTCTACTTCCTTTGTGGTAAAAGAACAGTACCTTCTTCCTGTTTTGCCATCAATGAGTGTATTTGTGTTGAAGGACAGTTAAACCAATTTCCCAATAAACAAAAGCTGATGTTACATCATTTGACATAACACCTACATATAACACCAACATCTCAGATTGATTGGTAATGATTTATTGATGTTCGGATGCCACGTAACACCTATTTTCATTTCAAGTTTATGGTTTTCTCAACCCTGTTGTATACAGTGTTCTTCTGTTTTTTCTCAATTCAGAGCTGGCTATTATTAAAAAGAAGTGTCACTGGTATTTTCAGCTGAAATGTACATTTTATAAAAACTTTCTCATCTGAATTGTAAGAGTCTGACAGAAGTGCTTACAAGAAAATCCTAGCTTGATTAATGTCTTCAAGTGGCTCTCAGTAACTCGACTACTAAATGTCTAGTGAGCTTTCTTGTGCAGTAATTGGTCAAAAACTGTATATAGACTAACCTTTAAGAAAAACTCCAACTGGCATTAGGTAGCGACTGTCTTGACAACAGTCTTGTTTATTTTTGGTTATTATACCGAGGTACAGTATCACAATTTGATCTGAAAATTATATATTGTATTGCTGTATAATAATTACAAATAAAACTTGCTATATAATGGTTTAGGCCGTGTACACCAAGTTATACATGACTTGCATTGTTTGTTCCTCTTTGTTGTCTTGAGTAATTGGAGGTTGACACGTTGCCGTTAAAGCGGAGTGAGGTTTTTTGCGACATTTAAACTTCACATTTGAGAGAGGTGGCCTCTTACCTCTCCCTAACACACAGAGTCCCATGAGGTTGGAGGAGTAGTACGTAGAATGAAACTGCAGGAGCTCCTGACGGATGTCAATCCCATCTTTAGACGGTCGGGTCTCAAGCGTCAATTTGTTACCTTTAAGAAAAAAATGTATATATAAATTTTTTTTTCTTTGCCAGTTTCACTGCCCAACTGCAATTATCAATGTAGTTTGAATGAACACATTTACAAATATGAGTACTAACAGATAATTAGTTGATTATGGGGAATGGACATAAGGATCACTGCACAGATTGGAACAAGACAAAACGTCAGCATGGTCCTCGACAGAAAAATAAAAACCCGATAGAAACAAATATCTGTTGGACTAAAAATTCACTTTGTGAATCATTCGACCTGAGAACCAAACAGTCAACGTTTTTATACTGACGCAGCGACAGTAGCCTGTCAGATACAAGTTGGTTGCCTGCCATAGTTCAAATAGAACTGAAGCCTTCATCTAGTGCTTCAGAGGCCAGTCAAAGGCCAGTGGTTGAGGGGTTTTTTTTGAGACACAGACAGAAAAACAAAGTAACAATCCTGAAAAGACTATGTTGGTCCACTAAGAGGGCATGACTTTCAGGCCTGTCTGATCCTCTTCCATTCTAAACTGGAATAACCATTATATAATTCAAGACTGCCATCAGGTGGTTATTTTGAGCTCGGAGCTGATCCAAGTCCATGTCACTCCGATCGGTGAATATGCTGGCCCAAAGAGTAAACTCCCCTAGCTGCTTTCCCACACACAACAGATGCATGCAAATTAAGTTATGTTAATAGTTATCCTTAGGAGTCATAGAAAGTGTTAAAAATGTCAGAGATCACAGCTGTAGCATGTGAAAAGATAGTGGCTTTATATACATGTTATCTTGTGTTATAGAACAATGTGTCCTTTTGTTTAGCAAAGTGGGGTAATTCTGCTGCCTAATATCTCACAATCGTCACTGTAATGAGGTCATTATTGAGCTGAGTAACCACAGTCATTAATACTGTAAACTTCTGTGTGGAAAAATACTTGTCTTTAAACACTGCACAGGTGGTGTAATATGAACTCCATATATTCAAATATTACACAGCAAATTTGAATTTCAATATTAATATGCAAATAGGCCAGCAGACTGATAAATATGGAACTATTCAAGTTGAGTTCAGTTAATGTCTCCACTGTGAGAGACAGACAGAGGCAGAATGCAATAAGCAGAACGAATAATGATGAATAATATGATCATGTGCAGTTTCCGGGAGCATTGGTGTCAACTCTGGAGAATTTCTACCTGTTCCAAATTTACTGAAGGGATGGTTAGGGTTGCCTGTGGCCTTCTCCAACTGAAACAGCCTCCAGGCATCATTCATCAGGTTCTTCTCATGCTCAGAGTCCACAGCATTCACCTCCCGGTCCTTACAGCTCTCATCAAACAGTGGGCACAGGAAGAATTGGGCAAACCTACAGAGATTGCAAAATTAAAATAAACATTAAACAGTGTAGTTCAGCAGGTCACGATGGATAACTATTTGCATAAGTGCGAAGAGAGAGCAACTGCCATGTAAATGAGGGAATGATAAGCAGACTCAAAATGTGAACATTTTCAAAGCTACACCGGATCGGTTAGAGCTGTAGATTTGGAGATTTATGCAATACCAAGCCATGTCCAAAAAACCCTTGTTTTTTTTGTGTTTTGTATTTTTCTTTGGCCTTTTATGCTGTTTTTTATTGAAGCTGTGACAGCTTGTGAGTATGACTGGAAAGGCAGGAAAGAAAGAGAGGGGATGACATGCAGCAAAGGATCTTGGCTGGAATCAAACCCAGGTTGCTGCGGCAAGGATCCAACACAATGGGGCGAGCGCTCCACCAGGCGAGCCACCAGGGTGCACAGTCTAAAATCCTTGTTAGATCTGACTAAAAATGTACCCATGTCAAAGTCGCTGTTTAGATAAAAAAAAATATTAAATCTGACCATGACCCTTAATACTTAAATGTGTTTATAGTATGAGATGCTTGTGGTTATTATTTTTATAATTCACCTTCCTCTTTAGCTCACCACAAAATGGTGGGTCTAGAAAAAAAAAAATATATATTGCTCTTGAATTACAAATGACCAAATGTGCCTAATAATACAGTCAAAAATATTAAAGCACGATATGGTTAAAATAATGGGGCCTGCTAATGACACACATGATTCTTTTAAACAGAACGCTCTTATCATCAATATTTCAGCATACTCTGCACTGTCCTTTCCTACCACTACAGTCCAGATGGCCTTCACAATTCACTGGCACAGGGGAACAATTAGCCTGTGACACATAAACAGGTGCTTGCTAGACTATTATATATTTATAAGTATGTAAGCTTATCCCAATATGTTAAATTCTGAAACCAGCCTGACCGTCCCCTCCAAACCACCACAGCTGACACGTGAGCAGAGCCCCCCCGGCAAGGCTGAGGACATCAGTCTCACCCTGTACTCGCGTGGGGGTAGGAACTGTGCTGATGATTACAAAAGAGAGCACAATGAAGCAGGGTCTGGTAACCAAAAGATGGACAGGCAACGACCTGGCAGCTCACTTAGATTAACACCTGGACTCCCCAGGGGAACACTGTACATTGATAACTAAACAACCACTTAGGCAGAGAGATGACATCTGTTTTAATTGGACTAAAGGTATACGCAGCCAAGAAGGAACCAAACAAACGTGGTGGGCAAATTATTAGAGACTAGTTGAATGAATTTGACTGCCATGTTTGCCAATTATGGCTAACATTTGCAGAGGAAGTCCACACAAATTAATACAGCTGAGTACACCCAAAAACAAACAAAAAAACCCCACCTAACATGTACCTGATACGAGACAAATTACTTTTAGTACAGAGCTAAATGAGTCCCATAAAAAAACACAAACAACAGGTAAGTACCTATCTAGTGCTCCTTGCAAGTGCTCATGGGACACGTCAAAGTAATAGTTGGTATGCTCTCCACTGGTGAAGGCATTGGAACTGCCTGCGTGCTCGCTGAGGAACTGGCTGTACTCGTTCTCCTTGGGGTACTTCTTTGTTCCCAGGAACAGCATGTGCTCACAGAAGTGCGCCAGGCCCGAGATGTTCCCTGGGTCCGATAATGAACCTGTGAATTTAAGAAAAATCGCCACAGAAAATCAGTTGATCAAGCCGTCAGCTCATTAAAGTTCACAGATGCAACATCTTGACTTTTCAGTGGCAGACATAATCCCAGACGTGTAATTGTACAACAAATGTCAATTAAATTTATATACAGAGAATTACACTTAACTAATTTAAGGATTATTTTTTAATAATTTGACTCAAATATTGAGACCTGGCCAAGATATATGGCATATCATTAGTATAAAACAGGTTAGTAGGGCATGGTAATGTTTTACCTCACTATCTCTGCAACCCCACCTCTATATGAGTCAGATCATGGGTAACATTTAATTGCCTGCACAGAAAACTTGTGTCATGTGTGCCATTATCATTTCCTCCGCCTGCAGCCTACTACTGCTTAGTCAGAGTGAGGACGTAAAAGGTGAGGACGTTGCAACACTGACATAGTTTTTGTTGTCTCAACTGTTTTAACTAAGTGGAAAGTTTATATATGGAAAACAATAGTTACATATTTTGCATCTCTTTTCCCTATAGCTTTCCAAACGAAGGAAAAACCACATGAAAATACTACCCAGCAAGACAAAGACATTTACCTATTTGGACATCCAAAGCAGCTGATGATTTGTCTGTTGTTGGGTCACTGATGAGCATAGCTTTCAGGCCGTTGGTAAACTCCAGGCCCCGGTAAACCCGCTTGTCCTCTGGGGAGCGAATGATTTCACTAACCACCCTGTTCACAGCCGGGTCAGTCATTCTGAGTGGCAAGGATGACACCAGCCTGCAATGGAGGGGAAACCAAATGTACAGTTTTAGTGCAATCAGACGAGGAGTCTGGTCCTGCAGTGATTTTAAGACACAGAATGTGTGTGGGTGGAAATTAATATTACATTGTGTAAAAGAAAACACGAAGCATCCCTCACTGAGGTGACCTTCAGGGGTTTCACAGGAGACACAACCGGGTCAATTGGACATTTAACTTAACGATAGACTCTTAAACAATGAGATGCACCTGGTAACATCACAATGAATGACAGCGACTGCTGCTGGAGATTTAATTGTTTAATGTAGACCACCTTTGAAGGAAGAAAATCAACCATTTAACAGCTCTAAAGTACAACAAACCTGTTTTAAACTTATAAAGAGTTAGTGTTGTTACTTTGCGTAATGCTACTCATTTTATGTGGCAGTTAACTAGTTAAAAAAAACAAACATTACGAAAATAAGAAGACTTGTAATTCATAATATTAATTAGGTAGACTGCTAACAGGAATATAAGTGCTACAGTGCAGCAGAGATTAGTCCTGGCTTCACTTCGGGATTTTAAATAATCCCACTCACAGGCTACCAAACTAGCGTTAGCTTGCTGAGCTAGCGACAAAAAAAAAAAAAAAAAAAAAAAAAAAGCTCCACAAAAGGCAGCAAACACTCGAGAGTCCGCCGGGATTGTGTGTTCAACACCGGCCACTCTTCACCCCCAACCCGCTGCGGTAGAGTGTTTGCACAGTTAAACACAGAAGCTCCGCACGCTAACCGGTTAGCTCCTCGGGTAGCCACAGAGCTAACGGCTCCCAGCTCTCCCGGTAACGTTAACTAACGGACACCAACCGCCGTTAACGGCCCGGCCCGGCAGCCAGCCGGCCTCCCGGTGGCTCTTCGTGTAACACAGCTCTTTTTGTTTCACATACAGTTGCGACATTCGGCCGACGACACGTACCTAAACCCTTTGTTGAGACAGAAACCGGCGGCTGCGGACGGGAGGGAGCTCGGTAACTGGGCCGCTCGGTTAACGCACTTCAACATAACTTCCACCCAGGAAAAACAAACCTGCGCCTTCACGACGCCATGTTTGAACAGGCGAAAGGAATCGAACGCGGAACAGCGCGCAGTTCAAATGTGTCGCGTTATCCGTTCCGCGATGTGTTCAAACTGATTAATGTGTTCACGATGATGGTTATTGATTATACTGGTACATTTAAAGTGACTGGCACGCGGCGATTTGGCAAGCACCTTTCTGACATTTACGTCGTGTCATTGACTCTGGTATCGATTAGGATAGCCTGCGTGTGCAGTGACATTCAGCGTATCAGATCCCGTTTCAAGCTTTGTCCTGCGCACGCAGCTGTAGATACATTACATAGTGGGAGAAATACAACTGATGAAACATTATATAACATATATAATTTATTTATATAAATACATTATATAAATACATATTTTACAAATACTGTACAAAATTCAACTCGTGGAAAATTAAACTGTGAAAGGGAATAATTAACTGTTGCCTATTAGTACATCTATTAACTTAAAACAGAGACTGGCGTGAGCCCTTTAATTTAATTTACTTCAAAAATATATGTATATTTTATTATGCTACTTATTTAACTGTGATTTTTATTGTTTACTTAGTATTTTAATTGTCATTTTACAACTCAGTGAAATTCTAATTGTAACAAAGTTTAGATGCCAAAGAATGTAATGTCATTATTCATTCACTGTTTCTAAATTAATTAATCAGATACTAGTAAAAGTAGTAAATCATTTATTTTAGAATTATATACCTGATATAGTAAAATGTGAATTATGTGGATTACATAGAGACACCTGTTGTTTCATTGTATAAACACAACATGTAGTAAATGGATGATCATATGTACACATTCTGCATGAAGCCTATTTGCTGTTCCATTAATAATAACAAGAGTTATGATTATGAATGTGATTGCTGTCATCTCACAGCCACTAGATGGCGACATATTTCTTTACTTTATTTTAAGGACATGTATTACCTGTCGCTTAAGAGCAGTGATCCACTATGTTAGTCATCTCATTACTCCACTGGGAAATAAAGCTCTATTATAATGACCTGGTCTTTCTATCTTGTCTTTTTATTTATAAATAACAACTAGACACAGGTTGTTATTTCAGGAGCTTCTTTGACAACCGATAGCAGGCCCAGTTAGGGTCTTTTTAATGTGTTTATTTGCACCTGCAGGCCAGGAATGCTCCTCCAGTAAAAGTATTCCCCGAGACAAAACTGTAAACTCCTCTTATTCCACCCAAATGAGTCATTTATAAGCTAATTTACAAGCAGGTCTGGTTCATGCCTTTTGTTTGGAAAGTCCTCAGTTATCTGTCGCTTGTGTTTGCTTTTAAAAGAGGAACTGATGTGGAGAGTGACACTCATGGGACTCACTCTGCTCCTCCTCTTTTCCTCTCTTTACTCATTACTTCTATAAGTCACTTTGAAGTGGACAGTGAGAGGATCAGACGTCCAGACAACCGTCAAGCACGATGGAGGAATCAACCGGCAGATCAACCAAGAAAAAAGTTGTAGCAGTGGTGGGCGGTGGTTTGGTAAGAAAAGACAATTAAAGTGAATTATTAATTCATTGTAAAGCACCTCTTGTCTCTTGATCTCTTGAATGCACATTGACCTTTACCAAGGCAACTGTCCTTTTATAAAAGGGAACAATTCTACAAAGTCCTTTTACATGGAAAGAAGAGGACAAAAAAGCACTTTCAAGTGTGGAATAAATGTGTTTAGCAATTGCTATGCAGCCTATGTAGAGTTAATAAGGCCTATTCAAGAGATATTTATTCATGTATGACATTGTACAGCCAGAGACTTTGGCAAGATTTTCAAAAAACTCTCCTTGTCTTTATCTCCTTCACCCTTTAGGTTGGGGCCCTGAATGCCTGCTTTTTTGCCAGAAGAGGCTTTGATGTGCAATTGTTTGAAATTCGAGAAGGTATTATTCAAAACTCTCTTTTAAACTGACTTTAGTAAATAACATCGTCACATCAATCCAGTCTCTAAGGAATACATCCATCCCACACATAAAAATTATAATATTCCTGAACCTTGTACACACACACACACACACACACACACACACACACACACACACACACACACACACACACACTTTATTTCAATGTGCTTTGACAAAAGTTAGACTGAAAACATTGTGTCTGATTCTGGTCAGATATCCGGCGAGCCAAAATTGTGAAGGGAAGAAGCATCAACCTGGCTTTGTCTCACCGGGGCCGGCAAGCTCTGAAGCATGTTGGAATGGAAGATAAGGTATGCTGATCAAATATATTCACTGTTGAGCTAATGATGAGGTACAGGTACACTGCAGGGTAATGGTGATCCTACCTTGTTTGTTTATTAGTCTAAAAGATTGGTATGAAACAAATCGGTGGCATATATTTGTGTAGGTCATCCATTATTCCTGCCCTTACTGCATAAATCCTCTTAATCTACACATCATAGACAGCAAGTGGGTAGAAACTGTTCAATAATTAAATATTAAACATGTGGCCGGGCCCCAGGGAATCTGCTTCCTTTGCTTACAGTCCACTTAAGATGTTTTATCCTGGCATCTGAGGTCAGCAATGTTTTTTTGTTGGCCGACATTTGCTGCACTGACCATGTACGCCTGAGAAATCTGCATCAAACCCTTTTTTTACACTTGCATGACTTTTCAGCATGACAGAACAAGGCTTTCTTTGCCTATTGACCACATGAACTAGCTGGACTGTCCACGGCAGGATACCCAGCTTCCACAACAAACTGAGACTGAAAACATGGATTTTTGACAAAGGATAATATTATACAGATTTGTTCGTTCTAAATGTTAATAAATGTGTTTTCATTTGACCTGTATTAATCATTTTTCTTCAGATTGTCTCCCAGGGAATCCCCATGAATGCAAGAATGATCCATTCCCTGAGTGGGAAACAGTCCCCGATCCCTTATGGCAAGAAAGGCCAGGTAAAGCACCTGAGATGTGTACATATTACATAGATATTTTATCATGCAAAACACAAAAAGAGCCAGAATATGACTTAACTGACATATAATCCCCTTTTATATTTTTGTGATGTGAGAACTTTGCTAATCATTTGCTAGAAGGAGGTTCTGCAAGGTTGCCATACAATAAGCTATTCAAACTACAACATGTTTAAATTGCACACATCAAGTTGTGATGACCTATTAGTTAGGATTGATAACATATCTTAGATTGGATTGTTATTTGCATGGCCATTCAGTATTAATATATCTTGTATACAGTGTATTTCAAATGTCCAACATATTGCTGAAAGTGTTAGTAGACACACTGTAAGAATTGCTTCATGTCAGTTGACCCATTAAATATTAATTCTGCAGACCTAGCGTCGACATAGGTGTGCTCGTAAGACACACACATACAGAAATGAGCAGGCACACACTGAGGTATGTTAGCCGAAGTAGGTCAAGGATGCACCGAATGATGAAAAGTAAGTGACAACTTGTGCAGTCAGACCGAAATGTGTTGTAACATAACAATAGAGTCCAACAAAAATTGGGTTTGTGTGTCATTACACAACGTGTTCCTGTTCTTTATGGTTTGTCTGTCTGAAAATAGTTGTTTTTGATTACACTGCTGCCCGTTTGGCAGGGATTCTTAATCTCATTAGATGGTTGAATAAAACAAAAATATACAAGATAGACAGTGAAAGCATGTAGATTCATGAACGTAGGGAGACAGAGTATAAACCACAGAGGCTTCCTGTTCCCATTTAAATGAGCAGTGTTAAAGTTCTGTTTGTGAAGTTGTACTGTGCAGAATCACACTAACATACAGATTGTTCTCCTTTCAGTACATCCTCTCAGTAGACCGAGCAAATCTAAACAAACAGCTGCTAACAGGTAAGAGTACTAGTCTACTTTTTTTATTTAATTCAGCCAAAACAGCCTTGGAGCATTAACACCGAACACAGTATCATGGGATGTGTGCTGCCAAATAAACAAATTATAATGAAACTGAAAGAGGAATTTAACATTCAAATGATGCACCTTTCCTACAAGAACTATAATACTGCAAAATTTGACTGGTAAAGAGTTTCAGCCCCTTCCAGACATGCATCCCTTTATGTTAATATGACGACAGTTTGACATGTCTGTCTCATGTCTGAATGAGTGAGTGCCAGAGTTACGTCCTGATGCATTAACTCAATCTTCATCCTCAAAGAGAAGAAAATCGGACAGAGACAGACATCACCTGTACGTCCCTTTCCCCAGAACATGATCAATTCTGGTATAGGATCATCTTCCAACCAACTTGTTGATTTGGTCAGGTCAATTGGAGCTGAGATTGGAGAATCTATCAAAGCTAGTTTACAGCAAAAGGGTTCTCCTGACCAAACACCTTCTGTCATCTCTGACAGACGCTTGTCATTTTATATCAGGCTGTAAAAACTATTTTCCCCTTGCAATGAGAGGAGGTTGAAGAAAACCCCTCATACAACCAACTCAGAATCTCCCTATATGTTTGATTTTCATTCATACCAACTGCATGATTGAATCCACGAATGTCAAGCGAAACACTTTAAATACAGCATGTCATTCAAACAGGCAGCAAATTCACTTTCTAATAACATTCAAATTAGATTATGTAACTTTTGCCGGACTTTGCTACTGCAGCCAAGTAACAGCTATGGGATAATGCTAAATGTGAAAGTGGAGAAGGTATCACTACCTATTTACTATATAGTGCATTATACTGTGTGCCATTTTATTTGAGGGTCCAAATTCTGCAAAAGATATTCTCACAATGGAACGGAAAAGTTCTGTCAATGGCATGTACATTAGCTAACTTTCTGCAAACAATCCCACAATAAAATGTGTCACATTTCATAGATGTAGAAATTACTGTTGACACAAAATGGTGATGGTTAATTTTGTCTGAAATCTCATGAGAGTTAACTACTATCACTAGTGTCAGCGAGGTAGCGGTTTTGGACAAAGCCATAAAGTCGTAGTCAATATAATAAAAGACCAAGCAAAGCTGTAGCAGCTAAAT